AAAAAAAAAAGAATTAAGGCTATCTATTTAACTACTCCTCTACTTCATAGAAGGAAACATTCTATATGCTATACTTCAAGACAACTCAGGGACGTCTGGGTGGCTCAGTCAGTTAAGCGTCTGACTCTTGATTTCTGCTCAGGTCACGATCTCACGGTTCATGGGATCGAGTCCCACCTCTGGCTCTACACTGTCAGCGCAGAGCCTGCTGGGGATTCTCTCTCTCCCTCCCTCTCTACCTCTCCCCTGCTTGCTTGCTTTCTCTCAAATAAAAATAAATTAATTAATAATAAAAAATAAAAAATAAAAAAGACAACTCAGTTTGAAGATTTTGAACTTAGGAACAGTAATAAAAAGATAGGTACCTTAATGAAACATCATTTGCTTTGTAAAAAAGAAAACTTACTTTAGGAGTCCTTTAAGTTATGTGCTTCTCTAGAGAATTTTGAATAATCTATAAAAATTCACACAAGTTTTCTGCAGCCCATTCTGAGAAGCACGATACAGTTTCACACTAAGCAAGAAGTTATAAAAATGCATTTTATAAACATCTTTGATCCAAAATGCATATATATTTGTTTGGCTTTTGCTTTTTGCTTTTCTTCATTAGAGGGAAGTAAGAAGTCATTGGCACAACACTTTTACCCATTACCTAGAAGGCAAGAGAAAGGTAAGAGTTAGGAGCTCTCTGTCCTGGCTCTCCATTGAGTCAACACACCTCTTCCTTTGCTTCTGTAAGCACAGTACCCAGCACAGTGCAGTGATGCTCAGGGGCTATAGAACCAACTGGTTCCCTTCTGCGGGTAAGGTATTCTCTCTGCTTCTGTTTCCTCAACTTCAAAATGAGATAAACCAGGGATGCCCAGGTGCCTCAGTTGGTTGAGCGTCCAACTTAGGCTCAGGTTGTGATCTCACAGTCCGTGAGTTCGAGCCCAGCATCGGGCTCTGTGCTGACAGCTCAGAGCCTAGAGCCTGCTTTGGATTCTGTGTCTCCCTCTCTCTCTGTCCCTCCCCTGCTCACACTCTGTCTCTCTCTCTCAAAATTAAACATTAAAATAATAATAATAATAATAATAATAATAAATAAAAACAGAAGGACAATTGGTGTGGATACAACAGTCCCACTTTAACGCCAATGATTTTCTTTTAATAAAACAAGCCAAGGGGCGCCTGGGTGGCTTGGTTGGTTAAGCGGCCAACTTCAGCTCAGGTCATGATCTCGTGGTCTGTGAGTTCGAGCCCCGCATCGGGCTCTGTGCTGACAGCTCAGAGCCTGGAGTCTGTTTCAGATTCTGTGTCTCCCTCTCTCTCTGCCCCTCCCCTGTTCATGCTCTGTCTCTCTCTGTCTCAAAAAAAACAAAAACAAAAACAAACAAAAAAAAAAAAGTTTAAAAAAAAACAAAAAAACAAGCCAAGGAGACACCTAGATTGCTGGCTGCTTCTGAAACCAGTGAGATCAAAAGAGTCTACACTTGGGTGCACAGATAGCTAGGGAACGGCCATGCCAGTCATTCTAACATCTGAACGATGATCTCAAGAATTACCCACACTATGTATATAAAGTAGTTAATGGGGGCCGGCATAGCTGAATTTAACACATGAATAATTTCTAAAGCATTCGATATTGCTAACTAGAGAGTCTACAGTCATTTTTTGGATATTTTCCAGTTGGATATCTTGTTTTTCTATATTTAAGCATTTCCTGATTTTCCCTCTGCTTCTATTGCTTTTCACCCTCCCACTCAGCTGTTCTCGTTGATGCCAATGCCTATAGGAAAAGTGAGCAGCAAAAATGGAAGAGAAGCAAGGCCAGAAGGAAGACGGGTCTAGAAAGGTTTCAGCAGATCCCCAGGTCCAGCCTCCTCTGGGAAGACCACTACATGCACCTGCGGAGAGCCTCCAGGAAGACATCTCCTCCCACAGCGTCGATGACCACGTTCACCCCATCAGTGCCCACCAGCTTCCTCACTGCCTCCTTCAGGCTGCCCTGACTATAGTTCACGATGGACTGTGCACCCTTCCGCATCGCCAGCCTGCACTTCTCGTCACTTCCGGCTGCAGCTATTACCTGCAGAAAGAATACAAAGCTTTCGACGATCCAGAATATGTATCAAAAGGGGTTCACCCCACCCACCCAGCCTCCAACCACAAAGAGTACTAAACAAGGAAGCCAACGTCACCTTGCTACCCTAGCATCAGCCTCAATCCCACACGTCAGGGCCAACAGACAGCACCATCACACTGGCCCCTCTGTCCCCCCCACCCCCACTGGCCATGGGATCCACATTTCCGGGAATCCTGGAACGCCAATGAGTCTGGCTAGGAGATGGTTCAGGGGACACTCAGAAAGTCTTACCCAATGGGGTGCCTGGGTGGCTCAGTAGGTTAAGTGTCCAACTCTTGATTTCAGCTCAGGTCATGATCTCACGGTTCATGAGTTGCAGCCCCATATCGGACTCATGCTGACAGTGCGGACCCTTCTTGGGATTCTCTCTCTCCCTCCCTCTCTCTCCACACCCACCCTCACGTGCTCTGTCTATCTCAAAAAAAAAAAAAAAAAAAAAAAAGTCTGAAAGTCTTCTCCAAATATGAATTAAACCACCTTTTAATGAATACCTACTATGAGTCAAGTAATAAAGATACCCAAGCTTAGAGTCAAGGTAGCAAGATAAAGCAGTATGATGATGGGGAAGTACAGACAGCTTCAGAAGTGCAGAGGAGAGGTATCCAATCTAGACCTAGATCACGAAAGGCTTCCCAGAGAGTAAAACATGACTCAGTGGAAAGATCTTGAAGCTGGAAAGACCTGAATTCAAATCCTGACTCTGCTACTAACTAGCAGTGTTACCTAAGACAAATTACTTAGCAAGAAATAATACTTACTTAATGTTACTATGTGCCAGGTACTATCCTAAATGCTTTATGTATATTAATAACTCACTTAGTCTTATCTTAATAGCCCAATGATACACACGCTATTAGCATCCCCATTTTAGAGATAAAGAAACAAAGGCAAAAGAAGTTCAGTAACTTGCCCAAGGTCACAGAGTTAATGGGAGGCAGAACTGGGATCCAACCCCAAGTAATCCATCTCCAGAGTTCATGCTTTTAACCTCTATTCTGTCCACCAGCTTCCCTAAACTTACCCATCTATAAAACAAGATTTATTTTTAAAATCAAATGGGGGGCACCCGAGTGGCTCAGTCGGTTAAGGGTCCGACTTCGGCTCAGGTCATGATCTCACGACTCGTGAGTTTGAGCCCCACGTCAGGCTCTGTGCTGACAGCTCAGAGCCTGGAGCCTGTTTCAAGTTCTGTTGTCTCCCTCTCTCTCTCTGCCCCTCCCCTGCTCATGCTCTGTCTCTCTCTCAAAAATAAATAAACATTAAAAAGAATTTTTAATCAAATGGAATACTGTACATAAAGCACTTGGAAAACAAAGTGTTAGATACATTGACTCTATTGTTACACATACACAATCACTTATTCTATTTAAACCTCATAAGAACATTATGGGGGAGGTATAATTCCTCCCATTCTATAGATGGAGACCCAGATCTAGAGGTTGAGTAATTAACCCAGAATTAGCCAGGCAGTTAAGTGGTAGAACAATTATGCAAACCCAATGCTGCCTGCCTCCAAAGCCCACGCTTTTCCACTCCACCACTCTGGGAGAAAGCCATGCTGAAAGCCTGGCAAAGATGGCCATGGGCCACACTGTGAGGAGGCTGGGGTTTGGAAGTCTCCAGAAGTCCTTCCTAACACGTAAGTACCGCCTAAAAGTGCCTCATCACTGGATAGCACCCACCAGCCTGAGCAGTTTGGCCCCAAGGTGACATCCAGAACATGCATTCAAACACACAAGGACATCAATGCCCTTAAGATATTTCACACTCACCCATGACTCTTTGAAACTAAAAGCTACGCTCAGATACTCCCCAGGGGAACCCTCAAGTAGCTGCAAATTCACTGACGGTCATCAGCACACAGTGCCACAGAGGGCTGACACCAGCCTCGGGTCTGGGACTTGAGGCCAATCTCGCTTCTCACAAGGTGCCAGGGAGGCCTGACACGAATCATGGTCTCCCCTGGTGGCTCACCTTCTTTATCTGTGAAATAGGGGTAATAAACACATTACCCATCTCCCAGGGGTGTGTTAGGATCCAAGGAAAGATAATTGGTGTGGAGGCACTTTGAAAGCAACATGAAATGCTGTGAATGGAAGGTGTTCTCAAAACAACCCGTTAGAAGTAGGTGGCCTGATGAGATTTCTAAAGTTGTTTTTATTATTTTGCTGTTGTTTGCATTTGCTTAAAACAGTTATGGCTGCTAAAGAAAATATAGCTTGGGTTAATTTTAATATCTGAATCAAAATGAGTTTTTCTCTCTACTTAACCTACTGTAATGATCTAAACAAATGGTGCAATTTTATCTTCCACGAAATGTTAAATAGTCAGTGGTTCTAGACAATGAGACTAATTTTGGTCTCCTCACTGAGAGGTGCTAAAAGCCCTAGCTTTGACATGAAATGTGTTAATATTCCATGGAGAGCCTCCTGGTGCCTAAGATTGCTTTCAGAACTCACATGTGCTTCCCCAAAAGAACCTAAAGCGAGAAAGGAGAGGGGCCACCAGAAGAAATTCCAAGGCAATCCAGTTATCTCCAAACCTGTGTATCTTGGTGCCTTCTGGATACCCCAACTGCACGTTCCACAGAAACCTCACATTTAATGCCTCCAAACCTGAGCTCACCAGTTCCTCCTGTCTTCTCAACTGCAATAAATGGCAAATCCACACGTTAACCTAGTTTGCTCCTTCCCACTCAATGTCTAATAATAACCGGATCCCTTTTTAAGAGATTCTCGCCGACATGCCGTGCCCTCTAATAGGCGTGCTGCACGTGTAATTTCAATATTCCCACAACGACCCTATGAGGAAAGCTTTATTTTACCAATGAGGAAACTGAAGCAATTAAGCGAGAGGCAGAGTTGGAATTTGAACCTAGGTCAGACTAATTTCAAAGTCCTTGTTCCCTCAACTGTATTAGGGAATGCTCTCCCGGCATCAAACTCTATTCTTTTCTACTTCAATATCTCTCAACTCATTGCTCCCAGTGCCTCGGTTCCAGTATCATCACCTGTGGCTTGGATCACCCCCAAGAGGCTGCTCTACATGCCTCCAGACCACCCCTGACTTTGCCGCATTCCTCATCCCCCCTGCTACCAGAATGAACTTTGCAAAATGCAAATACAATCATGGTACTTCCTAGTTTAAAGTCTTTAATAGCTCTCGATGGCTTCCAATAAATGTTCAAATTCTTCAGCGGTGCATGATCTGGTCTCTGCCCACTTCCCTGGAGTCACCTCCCACCATTCCCCACACAGACCCTTTGTTCCACAGATGCTACCCGCAATTCCCTGAATGCAACATGTGACATTCCATGTCTTTGTCCTCTGATCTGCCCTTCCACCACTAAAATGGTCCTCACTTCCCTTCTTCCTCTGTTCAACTGCTACCAGTCCTTCAAAAGTCAGCTTAAATGTCTACTCTCTCCAAGAAATCCTCCTTATCTGATACCCACAGCCTCAGAGTGATACCCCTACAGGGACTTGGGTCTTTCGTTCCTTTGTTTATTCTTTCATTTAAGAAATAGTTATTCGGGGTGCCTGGGTGGCTCAGTTGGTTACGTGGCTGACTCTCCATTTCAGCGCAGGTCTTGATCTCAAGGTGGTAAGATCAAGTGCGTCAGGCTCAGTGCTAAGCGTAAAGCCTGCTTAAGATTCTCTCTCTCCCTCTCTCTCTCTGACCCTTCCATGTGCACTCATGTGGTCACTTGCTCTGTCTCAAAAAAAAAAATTATAGGGGCGCCTGGGTGGCTCGTTCAGTTAAGCGTCCAACTTCGGCTCAGGTCATGATCTCGCGGTCCATGAGATCGAGCCCGGTGTCCGGCTCTGTGCTGACCGCTCAGAGACTGGAGCCTGTTTCAGATTCTGTGTCTCCCTCTCTCTCTGACCCTCCCCCGTTCATGCCCTGTCTCTCTCTGTCTCAAAAATAAACGTTAAAAAAAAATTTTTTTTTTTAAATATGTAAGAAATAGCTATTGAGTGCCTGCTATGGTCTAGGTACCATGCCAGGTGCTAGGACTACAATAATGAGCCAAAAAGACACTATTCCTGCCTTCATGGGGATTACAGTCAAGTAGGAAGGAGGCACTAATCCAAAAATGACAAAAGTAAAGGCTAGACCACACACTGAGTGTACCATGAAAGAGACGTACAGGATGCTATGAGACCATATACAAACAGCCAGGGGCTGGGATGTGGGGACAGATTACCATCTCCTGAGGGACAAAGAATACTTCCCTGAAAATATGACATCTGAGTTTAAATTTGAAGTGCGGGGGCAGACAGTTCAGAAGAGCATTACAGGTAGAGGAAATGGAATCTGCAGAAGCCACAGGGCAAGTCAGGCCTTGCCAGGTTTTGGTAACCAGAAGGAAGAGCGATCTACTCCAAGGTCCCCTCATCAGTCTGCAGGCAAACAGATGGCAAGACCCTAATCTGAGTTACTTTATCTCCTCAGTGCCTTGCGCGTGATACTCATGAATGAACGAATGAATATATTCTATCTAGGTTTGAAAACTGGAGGAATGATTTTTTTTTTTTTAATGTTTATTCATTTCTCAAGAGAGAGAGTGGAAGCAGGAGAGTGGCAGAGAGAGAGGGAGACACAGAGTCGGAAGCAGGCTCCAGGCTCTGAGCCATCAGCACAGAGCCCGACGTGGGGCTCAAACTCACGGACCGCAAGATTGTGACCTGAGTGGAAGTTGGACACTTAACCGACTGAGCCACCCAGGAGCCCCAGGGATGACTTTTTTTTTTTTTTTTAACAGAGAATCTAACATGCAAATACCTTAGCCTGAAGAACATTTGTTGCCACATCTATCACTGCAAGGCCTGTGGCTCCAGCTGCTGCTGTCACTAAAACAGTTTCTCTGCCAGAGAAAGATGAATATTACTTTGGAAAGCTTCAAAAATCATGCAACCGTATGATTTCATGAACATTTTAAAGCCAGAAGAGAACTTCGAGGCCATTTCACTCAACCCTTCACGGACACCCACTCTCCAGACTTTGGAGATGGGTTATGTATGTGACTGCTTGACCTGTGCGAATTTGGTCTGGTTGAAGACTTCCCAGGAAAAATATTCCTTAATCTCTCTAGAGGTTTCTCTCCAGAAATTCTGCCCTAGAATCATTCTCACGTTAAACGTTGCTGAATTTTAGAAGGCGTCGATCATGTAATGGTCACTGCTCAATTCAATGCTCAGGCTCTCTAAAAAGGGCAAGAGGCATATTATTTCAGGTAAAGTGAAATAAATTCTGTACGTTTGAGTTTGAAATACCCCAGGTAGGCACACACAACCAAGCTTCACAGAAACAAATGCCACAGGACTCTGTTAAAACCAGACTGGAGGGAGTTTACATAAACCAACTCTAAAATTTAAGGTTTGCTAGGAGGTGATCTCGAGTGGCCAGGTTTGAAAGACAGATGTCTCCCAATTCCTATTGGCCAAGTTCACAGTCTACCATTCCATCTCAGACAAAAGGGTATCCCCACTATCAACAGACCCTTCTCCTGGGTCACTACCTTCCTTTGGCCCTTCCTCACATAGACTGGACAGGGAGCAGAGAGGAAGGGGCAAGGCCTTGGTGGGCACTTCTCATATCAGACAGAGACACCACCTAGCCCTCTGTTGTCTACGTAGTCTCTTACCCAGGCCGAATACAGGCCCGATGCTCCAAGGCCAAAATAGCAGTGACATAAGATACAGGCAAGGTAGCAGCTTCTCGGAGGGGGACCCCTTCTGGAATCTGCCACAGTGTCTATAAAAAGAGATAACAGTAACTTAGGGATTAAGCACATGTACCTGTTCACAGAGGCTTCTCAGTAAATATTATGATCTGATTGACTGACTGATTCGCAAGGAAACCAAGCTTGTCAGGAACCATGCCCAGGGTAGAAGTTAAAACCAAGCAAGCTGCGACAGAGTTCAGAACTTGGGTGTACGAGTCTTCGAAGATCCTAAGGCTGGCCTCTGGCTCAGGAAGGAACCCACTTTCAAAGAATGGAACCACACTGTCATGGGGATGAACTGGAAGGTTCTATACAAATTTTACCTGAATAAAGCTGTGAAAAAAAGTGTATGCTATTCACCACTAGGGGCCACCGTTCCCATCCTGTACAACCCTACCCCTCCACCCTGGCTGGCTCCATGCCCAGGACTCTTTCACAAGCTTCACGCAGGGGAGGAAGCTATTGTATCAAGCTCAATGCCTCAAACCAGTTTTTCTACCCAAACTACCTATGGTCCGATTGGACAGCCAACCAGCTGCTCCGGGCAGGCCTCAGAAAACAAAATGCCCTTCTTCCTTACACCACTCCACACAAACAAAGCTCTGTGCAAGGGTTGTCACACCAATATAGAAAATGGGTTTAGCATTCGAAAGAAAGAAGTGCTTGGCTGAGAAACAAATACAAATGCGAAAGAGAATACAAATACAAAAAAGAGGGAAAGAAGGCTAACAAGAAATGAGAGCTAGGTGGAAATTAAAGAGAAGAAAGGAGGAAAAAAATCTCCAAACATGAATATTGAGAGGTGGGGATACCTTGTGATCAATGATGCATTCTTCAGCCATTCCATTAAAGCCACTCACGCCAATAACTCGATCTCCCTGAAGAGAAAATACCATTAAGGGTACGTTCAAATGCACGGCCTTGCCATTCACCTCTTCCCAAATGCACCAAAACAAAAAAGAAAATCTTTCTTTCTGACCCCATAAGACACAGATTTGCCTGAATCATCTATTCAGAGTTAATGTTTAGTAAATAATTCAGCCACCTCCTCAATATCCCCACCAGGATGCCAAGACAGTAGGAGCACATTTTGGACAATGACAGGACAGTGTAAGGAAAAAGTTGATAGGAATTAGCATCCCAGGGTTATTTTTTTTTTTTTCCACAAGAGGCTGAAACTTGAGAATTTTCTCTCCTCTCAGTAACTGAAGCCTGAGGTGCTGCCTTCTTTAGTAATAAAAAGTTTTACGAAGCCAGGAACTTCCACTGGCTTCCTGCCTCCAATTCAGAATTAGCTTCTTCCCCCTCCATCTCATTTTCGCTTTGGTGTCTGTTGGCGAAGGCCAAGAGAAGCAAGACCCTTCAGCTACAAATGAGGTTAGCACGTTTCTCACAGCTACACACACATCAATTCCCTGGATTTCAACTTATTTACCTCTTTCACTGTGCTGACATCTGTGCCTGTCTCCAATACTGTCCCCGAAAACTCCATTCCTAAGACAAATTGTTTAAACACTAGGTTATCTATAAAGCCTGGCACCATGGAGATGAAAAAAGCGTGATCAACAGGCCATCCTGTCAGCTTTCTAGAGCTGAGAGGGCTTAAGTGTTCCCCCACCACCCAGGCTAGAGGGGAAGAGCTTCATACCCAAGGCACAGGAAAGTGAACTTAAGATTTCATGATCACAACCTGAAAAGCTATGGCAGTCCTATTCTTACCAGACACAAAGGAAAATTTCAAGAATGGGCAAAAGCACAGAGAATCACAGGTACACAAGTACTTTTTTTCTTTTTAACATTTAGGGGCACCTAGTGGCTCAGTCGGTTAAACGTTTTCTTCGGCTCAGGTCATGATCTTGTGGTTTGTGAGCTCAAGCCCCGCGTCGGGCTCTGTGCTGACACCTCGGAGCCTGGAGCCAGCTTGGGAATCTGTGACTCCCTCTCTCTCTGCCCCTCCCTGGCCAATGCTCTGTCTCTCAAAAAACAAATAAACCTTAAAAAAAATTTTTTTAACAGTTATTCATTTTTTGAGAGACAGAGTGAGTGGGGGAGGGGCAGAGTGAGAGAGAGACACAGCATGTAAAGCAGGCTCCAGGCTCTTAGCTGTCAGCACAGAACCCGACACGGGGCTCGAAACCATGAACTGTGAGATCATAACCTGAGCTGAAGTCGGACACCTAACCGACTGAGCCACCCAGGTGCCTCTAGCACACAAGTACTTTTGATCTTGCTCACTGGGGCTTTGGGCTCCCTACAGCACCCCCCTTACAATGTTCATCCGATTGTATTTATCTGTTTCCAGTTCTCCTCTTGAGGGCTATGAGGACATGAACTATATTTATTCATAAGTACTTGGCTCAATTTGGATGAACTGATGTAGTCTGCTCTTTCCTCTTCCACCTCCAAAATTTCTGAATTTAATGATCACATATTTCCCACTTGAGCTTCAAGAGGAATAACTCAGTTGAGTATGACATTCCCCACCCCCATCCAGCATGTCAGCAAATGCAAACAGAGGGAAATGGTTCCAAATGTTGAGACACAACCAAACACCCCAAGGCCAAAACACAGCAACTATTTTGCAATCGCTGTATCCTTAACAGTATATGTCTATATAAAATATACATGTACTCTATACACAGTGAGCTATACTTCTATCTCTTTAAATAAATTTCAACAACAAAAAGCAGTCATTTGTCCACATATTCAGGATCTAAATGTAATCAGATTGGGTGTAATTAAAATCAGACAGTGGACTGCTAGAAATGTATACTCTTTTTTTTATTTCTGATTCTTTGATACTAGATTTCTTTAGGAATGTGTTTGTGAGGACTGAGAGCTTTAGCTGCAAACAGATGTTTATGATCCTTCAGTGAAAAAACAGAGGCACTAACAAGGAATGAAAGGGAATGATGAGGGCCAGTGAGGATTCTGATCAGAATTCTGGTGGACATGGTATGTAAAACTTCATTTGTTCATTTCCTCATTTTTAACGTTTTTATTGAGGATCTACAATGAGCCAGGCACAATGAGGTAAAAACAGGGATATAACTGGGGGGCAAAACAGGTATAGAACCTTCCCTCAAGGAGCTCACTATCCAGAGCTCCTTTTTTTTTTTTTTTTAATGTTTATTTATTTTTGAGAGAGAGAGAGAGAGAGCACATGCACGGGAGGGACAGAGAGAGAGAGGGACAGAGGATCTGACAGCGCAGAGCCCGATGCGTGGCTCAAACTCACAAAATGAGATCATGACCTGAGCCAAAGTCAGATAATTAACCGTCTGAGGCACCCAGGTGCCCCCAGAGCTTCTTAATTAGTGGTGAGGCTGACATATCAGAGGCATCACTGCCGTCAGGCAAGCACCACCGGGGGTCGTACCCGAGGTGAAGCACATGGTTCTGAAAACTCTGTATCTTCTTTCCCAACCGGTCACTTGGTCCCTTCAGACTCACCAGGTGTGAAGGGAAGTTGAGGCTTTTCCTGATACTGACCACGGCAGACCAAAATATCAGCAAAATTAACTCCACAGAAATGGACGTCCACTCTGACCTACAAAGGAAACGCAGCGGCAAAGTGGAGCGGTGTGCATCCATGGAGACAGAGTTCGGTCAATTACACCAAAATATCTTCTGAATGTCTACTGTATGCCAAGAATATATGCGAAGTGCCAGTGTGCAATCATGAGACAACCCGGACAAGGTTCTTGCCTTCGTGGAGCTAGGAGTATGGTAGAGAAGACAGATATCAAACAAATAATTGTGATGATTTATTTGCTAAATTACAACTCCTACAAAAAAAAATGTTATAGAAACATATGGTGCTATGAAAATGCATCATGGTGTGGTTTGACCTTTTGGAGACGTCAGGAAAAACATCTCTGAGTAAGTAACGCTGGAACCAGGAACAGCTAAGAGTTAACCATTCGAAAGAGGAGAGGGAAAGCCTGACACGACCAAAAGCGACGGCATGTGCGAAGGCCCTGTGATGGGAACAAAAGAAAAACCAGTGAGCTTAGAGCACAAAGAAGAGAAAGAGATGGGGCTACAGAGCAGGGACCACACACACCATCCAAGGGTCCACAGTCTTTACTGAGGATCTTAGTCTTCACAGTAGGAGCAGTGGGCAGCCATTAAAGGATTTGAAGCGGAAGGATAACATGACCAGCTGTTGTGGGGATCAGCAATTACCCTGGAGGCTGGTTCTAGATCCCCAGCTTCTGTGTTTCATGACCGTGCTAGAGCAGAGGCAGGCCTGAAGCAGTGTAGCCCACACTCTTGTAAGCCGGCGGTTCTCCAAGTCTGGTTCCAGAACCACCAGCTTTACTGCTACCTGGGAACTTAGAAATTGAAATTCTCAGGCCTCACCCCAACCTAGGGAATCAGCAACTCTGGGGACAAAGCCTAGCAATCTGCTTTAACAAGTCCCAGGTGATTTTGACACCGGCTGAAGTTAGAGAACAGGGCCAAGAAACAGGAGGAAACCAAGGCTGAGAGACAGAATCGCTGACATCCGTCTACGTGCTTGCTTCCATTTCCAGTTTAGTGCAGAGGTGGCCATGTTGGTGAGAAGGCGTCTCCATGGGCAAAATGCATCCATTCAACAATGTGTTGAGCGTCCGCCGTGTGCCAGGCACCATTCCAGAGTATGAGGATTTAACGGTGAGTAAACTCACATAGACCCAACTCTCATGAGCTAATTCCTTCCCAGGCAGTGTCTGGGCAAATAACAGAACAAAGGAGCCCAGCCTTCAGCCCGCCCACACTGCGTGCATGACACATCAGTTGTTGACATGCATGCCACTCTTAGGTCCTCAAGCCACTCCACCTTGCTTCGGGGATGAGTCAAGAATAAATGTCTTTCAGCACCCAAATCCCAGGGAGCAGGCTGCCATCACACACCCGCCCAAATAATCCATTTGGCAACAGGGTCCCTGTTAGTGATGCTTCTGGGCTGCAGCCGCATTTCTGCCTCTCACCAGGGATCCCTGACAGTAAGGCTCACTGTTCGCTCCACCTTGTCAGAGGTTCTCATTCTCCATTAGAGATGACACTGTGTCACCAGAGTGGTCACCGTGGTCACCCGGCAGGGCCAAAGTGACTTCCACATTTCGCCGGAAACGCCCACAATCCTAAACTAACCCCACCCCAAATCACTGCGCTACACCGAAGGAGGGCACAAGGCACATATTTAGGAAGAATTATAGGACAGATGTTACCGGACTGGTCTGGGGGAGGAGAAAGGACAGATCAGGAAATGCTTAACGCTGAAGAGGAAGCCATTGATGGGGTCCATTTATGTTTGTTAAACCAATAACCTGATGCGGTCATGAAAAGTCGTGTGCAAATCAGAATTGTCTCTTTCTAAGGCAACAGCTCTGGAGCCTTCAGAAAGGGGCCTGCGTTTGAATTTGGGGGAGCAATCTTCCTTCAGCACTTGTGGCCTTTTTGTGAACCCTGAAAGGGCCCTTCCCGCCCAGGACAGAGTTGCGCTCCAGTCTCCCGGTCTCCCCCTAGCTGAGCACTTGGGAACTCCGTTCAGGACGGAAGCCTGCGGAGCGTGTGGTGGCTGCCAAGCGGAGAGCGAAAGTGGGTGTCAGGCATCCCGGGGACAGGCCAGTCACCATCCTACCTCGTGAGGCCGGACAGGGCGGGAGGCGACCTCCTCGATGGCCAGGGGCTGCTTCAGCTCGGCGCAGAGCGCGGCGCGGTAGTGGCGGCCGCAGCCAGGCCCGGCCCTCCTGCAACACAGAGCAAGGGTCGGTTACTACCCACCCCCCGCCCCCGGTTGTCTGACTTTCGGAGCGCAGAGGGAAGTCGGGGCACCACCTGCGAAGCCACACCCGAGGGAGGCACCGTCCCCAAGCCACGGCCGCCATGGCCCGGAGCGGAGAGGCGCGGAGGGGTGGCCCGGGGTGGCAGGAAGCACGGGACAGCGCCGGCCCCGCCCTGGCCCCCGGGATCGCGCGAGAGCGTCCCACCCAGCTGACCCCTGTGGCCGGAACCGCGCCCGGGCCACCCCTGGGCCACCCCACCCGCGGGGCGCCGTGCGTCCCCAAGTGTCTGAGCGGGGTGCGCGGACCCCGGGGCGTCCGAGCCCCTAAGGCCCCTGGCTCCCTGGTGGCGGAGCCCGCTGGAGAGGAAAGGAAACAGTAAAAGCAATAGATCATCCGACCTTAAGCTATTGTTCACATTTTGCTAGCAAATTTGGGAGACTTTTAAAACCACACTTGGTGACATTTAAATAGCGGTTGTTGGGTCCTCTGCACTTGGGAAATCCTAAATGCGCAGGTAAAGGCTTTAATGTCTGCATCAGCACTTTACTGGAGTTCAATTCTTGTTACTAATTTTCTCACACTTGCACGACTATTAACATAAAACTGTATGGTTAGTAGTTGATCCATTGTTGAATGATCATACACAGATCCAAGAAATATTTTCTATTAAAGTCAGGCCCAAAGCTGGTCGTTTTTTATGTTCCTGATGCCTGTATTATGCCTGGCACATAGATGGTCAATAATTGACCCAGTGACTACAGAATTCCTAAGTGAACAGGAATACTCTGGAAAAACTGAAAACTTAACAATATGATCGGTGAAATATTATAAAACTGGGTAGATTTCTAACAGTAACCAAGTAGCAAGAGAAGCACGTTTTCCTGGGAAGAATATTTCATTTGACAGGTGGCTTTTAAACACAGCTCGATGTCTTTCGAAGAGATCTGGTCAAGGAACACAGCCTCTCAGTTTCAAGCCCGGCTCTAGCACCTGTCTGTGGTTTCATGCCACCTTTGGCAGGACACCTGATGGCTGTGGGCCCCAGTATCCTCCGCTACAAAGGGAAAGCATGGGACCGGATAATTCCCAAATTCCTAAATCCTCTTTCTATGTTTTGGTGAAAATAATGGTCCAAGATAGCAAATGACCTGGAAGGAATGATCAGGAATGGAATAAAGGGAAAATAGCCAACATGAAGTAGCAATGAACTTCTGAGATTATGGCCTAGAAGCTTTGGTGGGAAAGGAATCCAAGAACTAGATCCCTAATGTAGTAGCGACTCACTGGTATTTTAAGAGCACTCATAGAGAATTTGAAAAGTCATTTTAGCCTCTGGCCGCCTCAGGAGGAAACTCAGGCCGAAGAGGAGCGAGGACGACAAAGTGAGAAGACGAGAAAACATTCTGGTTGCCAAATAACAGTGAGCAACAGGAAATCTCAAGTCTATGAAGTGCGAAACAAGTGTCGATTGTTCTGAGGACAAAATGAGTTGTTACATATGGGAAATGTTTTGTAAAATATTAGGTATTTATATGAGATATAAAGCAAGCAATTTTTAGTTGAACTCCTTGAAAGCAGCAACCGTTTCTTCATATCCTTTATGTTTGAAGTACTTTGCACACGCAACCCTTTTAGGCATTTAACACATGTTTATCTAATGAATTGTTGGATGAGCGTTCAATTATCTTGTGTCAATATTCCAGATAATTGAAAATATCTTTAAGCATCAAGTCTTTTCTTTTCGATTAAGTATTTTTATGGAGATTTTTCTCTATTGTGCTTTTCATGATATCCTTGTCATTCTCAGAGAATATGAAAATTAGTGAGTTTTGGGGAAATCTATCAATACTGCCTTCTACATTTCTAACGGTATCTGAAGAAAATAGTGAAAGTCCCTTTAAGAAGACTCTTGAAGGGAGATGAAAGTATCTTAACTAATTGAGGTGATTTGAAGCATTTATATGCAAAATCACTTTCACATTTCCAAAGAGCTTCAAAGGTAAGTGACAGGGCAGCAACAGTAGTTGCTATAGTAGCAAAAGAAATATTTAGCCTATCCATCAAAGTGCTGCCATCACACCATTCCGTCTAGTTTTTGTTATCATTTCTGGTTATTTTGTTTTAATTGAGGGTACAGCGGAAGAGTGGACAGGAAGAATAAAATTTGAGCCCTGAGGAAGACTAAGACCAAGCAGCTATATCTGAGCCGATCGGTCCTCTGAGAAGAAAAAATCCATAGCTGCCCTGCAAACCAGTTTGAGGGGCTCATTAGGAAGTAAAAGAGTAACAGATGACTCTTCCTTCTGGTACAACTCACATGAAGAGATAATATTTAACATCCAGAAGCTGCTGGAGGACAGAGGAGGGAGAAGAAAGCCAGAGCTGAATACACAAACAGCTATATTTTCACAGAATAATGGACAAATGATATACAAACAATATAAAGCACTGAACAGGACTATGCTGAAGATGTAAAAGTATCCCCAGAGTTAAAATGCTTTCTCCAGGGGCACCTGGGTGGCTCAGTTGGTTAGGCCTCTGACTTCGGCTCAGGCCATAATCTTGAAGGC